AGGCACGCATGTAAGCCTGCGAATCTCTGTTCCTTACCGCAGTTAGCCCAAGATCGACTGTAGCCTGCCTTAAGTGTACACCACAATTGGCTATGATCGACCATGGTACAGGCGTTGTAAGTCATTCCTCCGTAGGTAAAAGGAAAAGTACAGCAGGCACCTTGGGTATTGTCGGTTCTTCTGCCAGGGGGACATGGCAGCTCTGTGGAAGGACGGAAAAACTTGCTTTACCTTCTGGGTATATTTTCAGATAATTTGAAAGCGAAATGTGGAGGACGATTACTAGTACAAGTATCACCTTTTATAAATGGGTGTCATATATGGGGTTTTAATCTCTTAATTCAAAAATAAGGAATGAATTATTGAGAATGTTTAGTTAGACTTCCACTGTACAAATGGCTCGCCCGACCATCCAGAGCTAACAAAGCACTATTTTAAGGGGATCATAATCTGAACGTGGTTAAAAAAAATGAAAGACTTAGGTAAGAAATGTACCCAGTATTGCATAACACAATTTATATGATTGTATGTACTTTTTTCACAGTTTTCTCCAGAATATTCAGCGATGCATTCGCAAGTGCGCGAATTGTTTCCAGTTTTGGTGCAGATTCCTCCATTTTGACAAGGTCTCTTGGCGCATGGGCCTGCTGCAGAGTAAAAAGAAATACTTGTTTAGATACGTTTACCCTTTTGTTTGGATGAATGAGGAATTTCAGACCAGAACTAACAGGAATCTGTTTGGTCGCGACATAAGTATTCATTTTCTGCATAACTCCAAAGGTGCAATTTAAAAATTCATATCTTGTGACTTCCTCTTAGTAATGAATACCTTATGTAAGATACATCACGGCGGAAAAAATTTACTAAGGATAGAAAGTAGGTCATACACTGAATTGACTACTAGCTGAATTTACAGTCATTATGCATGTACCTGTTTCACAATTGTCTCCAGAATATCCCCCTGCACATTTGCAGTTGTACGAGTCGTTTTTGGTTTCTGTACAGACCCCTCCATTTAGGCAAGGGTTCTTGTGGCATGGACCGACTATAGTAGAAAAAGAAAAACATTCAATTAAATACCTCCATACTTTTCTTGCTATGTATGAACTATTTGAGATTAGCAGCAATATTTAAAGTTCTAATAGTAAGACCAAATTGCTCCAAATAAGCATTTCTTGTATTTCTTCTCATCATTGTAGCTGTTAAATCGTGTTTTTTAAGGAATATACAATACAAAAGTGTTTGTATTTTTGGCACGCATTTCAAAGCGCTACTTTTTGTTCCTTACCGCAGTTAGCCCACGATCCACTGTAAGTAGCAGTGAGTGAACACCACAATTGGCTATGAGCAGCCATGGTACAAGCGTTGTAGGTCGTTCCTCCATAGGTAAAAGGAAAAACACAGCAGGCACCCTGCGGATTGTGGGTTTTTTTTCCAGGTGGACATGGCAGCTCTTTGGATGAAGAGGAAATTTGATTTGCGATATTGGTATATTTTTAGTAAATTAGGAAGCAAAACATGGAATTTACTTCTTAGTGTACCATCTTTTTTTAATGAAGGTGGTTAACAACGGTAAATTGAAAATAATTTATTGAGCAGGTCTAATTAGTCTTGAATTAGATAGATGGCACTCACATTGTCTAGAGCACACGTAGTGCTATTTTAAGAAGATCACGGATATCATCATGAAAAGGACTTTAATTAAGATAAAATATCAAAAGTTATTATTATATTATTACTGCACGAGTTGTTCACACAGTTCACAATAGATTTGCCTGTACTTTTTTCACAATTTTGTCCAGAATATCCAGCGGCACATTCGCAACTGCGCGAATTATTTCCAGTTTGGGTGCAGATTCCTCCATTTTGACAAGGTTTCTTGGCGCATAATCCCACTGCAGAGTTAAAGAAAACACTACATGAGGCATGATCATACTTTTGTTAGAATAAATATAGCATTTAAGATCCAAACTAACAGTCATCTGGTCAGTCGTCGCAATAGTATTCAATTCTGCTTGAAGATTTGTAGTTAAACCTAAAAACCAAATAAGTCCAAATCTACAATTTGCGATTCACTTCTTGAGTGACCTTTCTGTAGAGAATACCATGTGTCGGATCACTCATAGCGAAAATCTAATTACTCAGAAATAGGTCAAACATTGCATTGACTGCTAGCTCAATTCACAGTCGTTACGCATGTACCTATTTCACAATTGTCTCCAGAATATCCCCCAGCACATTTGCAGTTGTACGAGTCATTTCTGGTTTTTGTGCAGACTCCCCCATTCAAGCAAGGGTTCTTGTGGCATGGACCGACTGAAGTGGAACGAGAAAATACTTCATTGAGCACCTCCATACTTTTCTTGCTATTTAAAAACTATTTGAGATGAATAGTAATGAGATGGATGATGATTTAGAGTTAAAGCAAACAGACAAGACCTACAAAAGTTGCTCCAAATATGCATTTTTTTATATCTCTTCTCTTCATTGTAGCTGCCAAATAGAGTTTTAAGGCGAATATATACTACAATAGTGCTTGTTTTATTTACGCACGCATTTCAACTCTGGACTTTCTCTTCCTTACCGCAGTTAGCCCAAGATCCACTGTAAGTAGCAGTAAGCGAACACCACAATCGGTTATGAGCGGCCATGGTACAAGTGCTGTAGGTCGTTCCTCCATAGGTAAAAGGGAAAACACAACACGCACCTTGGTGGTTGTCGGTTTTTTTGCCAGGCGGACATGGCAGCTCTGTGGAACGGAACAGTTAAATTTGCTTTACCTTCTGGGTATATTTTCAGATAATTTTAGATGAAATTATGGGGACGTTTTCTAATACATCTATCACCTTTTATAAATGGATTTCAAAAATGGGTTTTTAATTCCTTATTTTAAAATAAGACTGAATTATTGAGAATGTTGAGTTAGTTTTCCATTGTACGAATGACTCGTCCGACCGTCCAGAGCTCACAAAGAACTATTTTAAGAGGATCAAAATTCAAAGGCGATTAAAAACATTGAAATATTAAAGGTAAGAATTATGGCCAATATTGCATAATTCACAATTAATACGCCTGTACGTACTTTTTTCACAATTTTCTCCAGAATACCCAGCGGCACATTCGCAACTGCGCGAATTGTTTCCAGTTTTGCTGCAGATTCCTCCATTTTGACAAGGTTTCTTAGCGCATGGGCCTGCTGAGGAATAACAAGAAACAGCACTAAGTTAGATATATCCAAACTTTTGTTTGGATGAATTAGGTATTTGAAATTAAAAATACCAGGTATTTACCCAGTCGTGACAAAAATATTCCTTTTCTGCGTAATTCCTAAAATGGCAATTTTCAATTTATATCTTGAGATTTCCTCTTCGTAATGAATTTCGGATAAATCACGGCATTACCAATGAGAGAAAAAAGGGGTCAAGTACGGTATGGATAGTTATGTTAATTCACAGTTGTTATGTACGGACCTATTTCACAATTGTTTCCAGAATATCCCCCAGTGCATTTGCAGTTGTACGAGTCGTTTTTGGTATCTGTACAGACCCCTCCATTTAGGCAAGGGTTCTTGTGGCATGGAGCGACTAAAGTGAAACAAGAAAATAATTAGTTAAGCACCCCATACTTTTGTCGCCATTTTAAAACTATTGGAGATGAACATTAACATTCTTATTTGTAATAATGGCGCATATTTGATGACTGATGATTTATCGTTAAACCCAACAGACAAGACCTAGTTGCTCCAAATATGCAATTTTTGTATCTCTTCTCGTCATTGTTTTATAACGAATATAAAGTACAATGGTGCTTGTGTTTTATTTTTACTATGATTTTAACTCGCTGCTTTCTGTTCTTTACCGCAGTTAGCCCAAGATCCACTGTAGGTAGCAGTAAGGGAACACCATAATCGGCTATAAACGGACATGGTACAAGCGTTGTAGGTCGTACAAATAACGAGTACAAATACTCAGCGATACTACACAACAAAACGTCTAACAAGTTATTTAGCATTCAACAGATCAAATTGTTATTTCCGTGCGGGCGAATTTCGCGGGTATTTATTTACGGGGAGTGCGTGACAGAAATATGCGAAGCAGAACGGAATTGGCGAGTTGTCGTGTTGCTCTTTCTATTTTCTTCAATAAATGATGAAATTTTATCGTCGTCTAACTGCTTTTCTTCGTTTGATTTATCTCATAAACTTGAATCAATCCTCGCCAGCTATTCCGACTCTTTTCGTCGTCAGAAAAATAATTTAAATTCTCCGCCATTTTATTTTTTGTAACTTCAATTCAATTCGTCGCTTGCGCGATGCCAGAAAACCTGTCTAACCAGTTCTCTGGAGTACAAATACCGCGTGATATTTGTGCTCGTCTTAGGCGTTATTTGTACTCTATGTATTATTATTATCCAACTACACTCTGTAGTTGATGACTGATGATTGATACTTAAACCTACCAGACAAGACCTAGTTGCTCCAAATCTGCAAGTTTTGTATTTATTCTTTATCATGAGCTGATAAATCGTGTTTTAAAACGAATATGAAGTACAATAGTGCTTTTTTTTTTGGCATTTATTTCAACTCTCGACTTTCTGTTCCTTACCGCAGTTAGCCCAAGATGAACTGTAAGTGGGAGTAAGTGAACACCACAATCGGCTGTAATCGGCCATGGTACAAGCGTTGTAGGTCGTTCCTTTATAGATAAAAGGAAATACACAGCAGGCACCTTGGTGATTGTCGGTTTTTTTGCCAGGAGGACATGGCAGCTCTGTGGAAGAACAAAAAAAATGCTTTACCTTCTGGGTATATTTTCAGATAATTTTAGAGGGAATTATGGGGACGTTTTCTAGTACATGTATTACCTGTTATAACTGGATGTCTTAATGGGGTTTTAATTCCTTATTTTTGAATAACGAATGAATTATTGAGAATGTTTAGTTAGTTTTCCATTGTGCGAATGGCTCGTCCGACCGTCCAGAGCTCGCAAAGAACTATTTTAATTAAGAAGATCAAAATTCAAAGGTGGTTAAAACATTGAAATATTAAAGGTAAGAAATATATCCAATATTGCATAGTTCACAATCTATATGACTGTATGTACTTTTTTCACAATTTTCGCCAGAATATCCAGCGGCACATTCGCAACTGCGCGAATTGTTTCCAGTTTCGGTGCAGATTCCTCCATTTTGACAAGGTTTCTTGGCGCACGGGCCCGCTGCGGAGTAACAAGAAACAACACCAAACTAGATAGGTTTGTATTTATGTTTGGATCAATAAAGTATTTGAAGTTAAAGGAAACTGGATACTGGGCAGTTGTGACAAAACTATTTATTTTTTTGCATCATTCCAAAAAAATACAATTCATAATTCATGTCTCATGACCTCCTCTTTGTAAGAATATCATATGTGGGTCAAATCACGGCGGGTAAAATCGTTACCAAAAGTAGAAAACATGGTCAAACATTGAATTTGGCTTCATCAACTGAGTTAATCTTGTAAATTGGCCGCCTTAGAATTTCAAAGTTGACCTTTTGAGCGTCAGCACCTTGTCAGAGGGCTCCTTCGTCATTCACTCTGAGAAAGCGCTAACGCTCGACACGTCAGCTTTAAAACTGCTAATGGTGGCCGATTTACTCTATCAACTCAGATGATAAATCCGAGTTACCTTGTTACTCCCATTGACACAGCACCGCAGTTTCTTTAGAAACTTACCCCCTTTATTCCCACATTAAATTGACTATTAGCTAAATTCAGAGTCGTTACGCATGTACCTATTTCGCAATTTTCTCCAGAATATCCCCCAGCACATTTGCAGTTGTACGAGTCGTTTTTGGTTGCTGTGCAGAACCCTCCATTTAGGCAAGGGTTCTTGTCGCATGGACCGACTGTAATAGAAAAAGAAAATACTTAATTAAGAAAGAAAGAAGAAAGAAAGAAGAAAGAAAGTCTTAAGCTCTCTAAACAACAAACGTGACTAGTTACAATGATAAGGTTGAGATCGGACGTCAGCATTGTCAGGCGCCTCTGGCAGCCGCTTCAGTCCATGTAACGATCCACCTTCCCTCCCATCCCACCCCAGGGAAGGATATCCACCACGCAGTAATCTCGTGCGAAGGAAATTAACGTCTCCTAACCCTAACCCTCGGGGGACGGGGCCTACGGTTTATTCGTCCTTATCCGAGAAGACTAGAATATCTATCCATTTCTTGATATTAAAGAAAGGTAGTAAATTCTCCTCAGTTATTTTAAGACCATGAGTATTGGTCCGGCCAGGGCCCGAACCCTCGACCTCCCGCACAACACAATCCGGCGCTCTAACTAATTGAGCTAACTGGGAGGCGGATTAAGGACCTTCTTTCTGACTATGAACTCAGTTTACATGAATATTGGCAGCAACCTTGTTAGTTCTAATAGGAGCATATATTTGATGACTGATGATTTATAGTTAAACCTATTGGACAGTTGCTCCAAATATGGAATTTTTTCTTCTCATCATAATAATTGTAGCTGATAAATCGTGTTTTAAAACGAATATATACTACGGTATTGCTTATTTGGGTACACAATTCAACTTGCTGCTTTCAGTTTCGTACCGCAGTTAGCCCAAGGTGTACTGTATATAGCAGTAAGGGAACACCACAATCGGCTATAATCGGCCATGGTACAAGCGTTGTAGGTCGTTCCTTTATAGATAAAAGGGAAAACACAGCAGGCTCCTTGGTGATTGTCCGTTTTTTTGCCAGGAGGACATGGAAGCTCTACGGAAGAACAAAAAGATTTGCTTACGTTCTGGGTATATTTTCAGTTAATTTTAAAGGAAAATATGAGAACGTTTTCTAGTACATCGCTTTTTATAACTGGATATCATAAATGGGGTTTTAATTCCTTATTTTTAAATAAGGAATAAATTATTGAGAATCTGAGTTAGCCTTCGATTGTACGAACGACTTGTCCGACCGTCCAGAGTTCACAAAGCGCTACTTTAAGAGGAACGAAATTCGAAGGTGGTTAAAAAAGTTAAAACATTAAAACATTAAAGGTACGAAATATATCCAATATTGTATAGTTCACAATCTATATGACTGTATGTACTTTTTTCACAATTTTCTCCAGAATATCCAGCGGTGCATTCGCAACTGCGCGAATTGTTTCCATTTTCGGTGCAGATTCCTCCATTTTGACAAGGTTTTTTGACGCATTGGCCCGCTGCGGAATAACAAGAAACAAGACTAAGTTAGATATGTTCATACTTTT